TACTAAAGTCATGAGTTCATCAAGCTCATGCCAATTAATATGTGATATATAAATAATATACATAAAATATGCACATATATAAAATACACATAAAATATATTTTAAAGACAGTTTTCACTATGTAGTCTGTGTTGGTCTTGAATTTATCTGTCCTCCACCTTTAGGATCATAGGAACTCACAGAGATCTACCTGCCTCTGCTCTGGAATGCTGGAATTAAAGGTGTGTGCCATGTGCCACCATGCCTTCCTGAAGGAAAGTATTTAATTAGGGCTTGCTTATAGTTCAAAAATTTGGTCCATTGTCATGGCAAGAAGCATGGTGGCATGTAGGCAGACTGGTGTTGGTGTGGTAGCCGAGAGTTCTACTTCAGGAGTGGCAGGCAGCAGGAAGAGAGATCGATCGATACTAGGCCTAGCTGGCCCTGAACTTGAGTGATCCTTACTTATACTTCTGCGTTGCTAATGCTTAGGATTATAGATATTCACTACCATGTTAGCTTGATATTTGGATGAAAATTTCATTTTAGAATAAATGCAAGCAAGATGTAGTTGAAAGTGTTTATTTTTTTAAAATGTAGTAATTGGGCCAGAGAGATAGCTTAGGAGTTAAGAGCACTTGCAACTTTTCCAGATAACCTGGTTTCAATTCCCAGATACCGTATTCTGTAACTCCAGTTCCAGGGGATCCAATAGCCTCTTTTGACCTCCATAGGTACTAAACAAGCAAGTATTGCACAGGCATTTACATACTTGTAACACCCATACTCAATAACAACAAATAGATTATTTATGGGCTAGTAATGCATCTCATCTGGGTAGAGTGCTTATCCTAGCATGTGCAGAAGCCTTGCTTTGATCTTCAATACTCCATGTGGATGGTGGCACATAACCAAAATCACAGCACTTAGTAGGCTGAGGCAGAAAGATTGCCACAGGTTTGAGGTTGGCCTGGGTTGCATAGGGAGACTGAAAAAACAGTAATAACACAAATTACTACTTCACACTCAGCATTGCAGTGTCAAGGATTGCTTTCTGTACTGTGCTGTGTTTTTGTTATTTTGTTTTTCATTCCTGAAACTGTATTAGAAGTGTGTTAACCCATTTTGGGGGTAAGGGAAGGGTAGTGTTGGGCTTTAAGTTACAGCCTAGCACGTGTTCTGTATGCCTATTCCCAGCCTAGGGAAATAGAGGCAGGGAGATTAGAGGACAATTTTTTCTTGGTGTGTGGGTTGTTGAGTTTTTTTATTTTTTAATATTTTTTATGATTTATTTGACTTTATGTGCATTGGTGTGAAGGTTTCAGATCCCCTGGTACTGGAGTACCAGACAGCTGTGAGCTGCCATGTGGGTGCTGGGAATTGAAACTTAGGTTCTCTAAAGAACAGTCAGAGCTCCTAACTGCCAAACCATCTCTCCAGCCCCTGGTTCTCTCTTTCTACCACATGGGTTCTAGAAAGTGTCAACTCCCTTTGCTTACTCAACCATGTGGCTTACCATTTCTTTTCTCCTTCCCTGTTTTTCTCTCTTATTTCCTTCTTTTGAGACAAGGTCCTGTGTAGTCTAGGCTGGCTAGGCACTCTTAACCAAATGATTCTGCACTTTTTCATTAGCAGTAATGTCCATTTACTTATCTTCATACAGATTATCTTCAGTGTTCTATGGTGCTTTGCTTTTTTGTTTGTTTGTTTGTTTTTGTTTCTTTTCTTTTCGAGATAGGATTTCTCTGTAGCTTTGGAGCCTGTCCTGGAACTAGCTCCTGTAGACCAGGCTGGTCTCTAACTCACAGAGATCCGTCTGCCTCTGCCTCCCGAGTGCTGGGATTAAAGTGCTCCACCACCGCCCGGCTGCTTTGCTGTGTTTTAATAGTTATATTGCTTATTAGGAGCTCTGTCTTTTACTCATCTCTTCTCCCTCCCCCTTAAGTTTTGAGACTGGGTTTTTCTTACTGTCCTTGGGGCTTGTTATATAGCTTCATACTTAGGTGCCTGCCTCTGCCTCCCTAGTCCTGCAATTAAAGGTGTGCACCACCGTGCCTGGCCATCAATTTTGTACTTAGGCATTAATAATGCTTTGTGGATCAAAGGAGTATCAGATAACCCAAGACTAGAACTCCTGCCTCGTACTGAACTGTAGAAGAAAGTTACCGAGTTTCAATGAGGGTAACAGCTTTGCAGTTACCCTCACTGAAGTTGCAATGACAAAATACCGCCCTTCAGGGGTTTGTGTAAATGCTACAGCCTCTGGTTGTTGCACTCTTCATGGGTAACATGTTGGTTTTCCTTCTTAGACATTATGTTTCCATTATTAGTCTGGCAGCCTCCACTGAGAAGTAAATTATAAAATAAGGTTTAGTAGCTGGGTGGTGGCAGAGGCACAGGTACTGGATTAAGGAATCTCAATACTGGGAAGACAGAGGCAGGCGGATCTCTTGAGTTTGAAGCCAGACTGGTCCATAGAATGAGTTCCAGGACAGCCAGTGCTGTTAAATAGAGAAATCCTGTGTTGGAAAACCAAACAATAAACAAAACAAAACCAAAATAAGGCTTTGTAATCAAAGGTTTGTAGGTACTTGTTGTTAAGCAAAGGGTAATAGGTAACTTATTTACTCTGAGGAAGGTGCTGGTGGTGTCTTACCTAGCATGCCCAGAGGCCCAGGGACTGATCCCAGCACCACCACTACCCCCTTTAGAAACAAAAACAACAAAAGGAAATAACTTACAGAAATAGTAAAATTTTATGTTATCAAAATTATTGTAAGACAAATTCTCATTTTCTGGTAATAAAGTGAAAGTTCCAGGTTTAGTGATGTACCCTGAAGTACTGCATGAGTCAGGGACAGCCGGGCTCAGCACACAGTTGACTCCAGAGGCCTCAGCTTTTCTAGGGCTGTTGTCCACATTTCCTGACCTTCCTGAGTCACACTGAGATCTTTGTTAGGATAGTGGGAGGTTCGGGTTGTGGAATAATTGGATGTTTAAATCAAACCATGAAGCTCTAAAGAATAATTACTAAATTGATAGAGAAATTGAGTTTTGAAAATTTTTGTTTTTAAATTTTCATTTTTTTAAACTTTAGTTATTTGCAGATAAAGACCCTACTCTAGACCATGATTCTTTATATTGTGATTCATCATGGTAATGGTATTTTCTTGAGCTGATTTAGTAGATTCTTCATGTACTAGTAATGTTTTTTTCTCAAGGGTGAAAAAAGATTCATCTTTTTCCCCTCTGAATTGTAATATGGGGGTAATGTGGACAGATAGAAGGAGAGGTCTAAAAATTAATAATTATTTACCTAGTGTTTTTTTTACTAACAAAAGAATTGGGACAACTGCAAGAAAAACAGTTTTCTTTCTAATTTATTACCTTCTCTTTCCCTTTCAAAACTTGACTAATTGGATCCGTTAGTCCTATTGCAACATTTTTCATTTTACTTCATTTTACAAAGAAGTTTGACTGTGGATGCTCTGTAGTGGTGTTTGAAAGCACCAATGATTTCCTTAAAATTCTTAGTGGGAGAAATGAAGTATGAAGTTAATACTTGTGTTACTGCTTAAACTGGTTGCTAAAACTTGGTGTCTCCAGTTTATCACTCTTGTACATAATGGATAAAGTATTTTTACTTTACTAAAATATACATTTCCCCCACCACAAATACAAATAGTGCTAATTTTCTAAGGTACAGGAAGAGGTTCTTGTGTATATTAATCATTAATAATCTTTTTAACAAAAATATTTTGAAAAAATGAGCTACTGTCATCTCAGATAGAAAGAAGTTATGAAAGAAACCATTACCTTTTAGGATGTATAAAAGTCATGTTTTTTCATCCTGTGCTTTTATTAAAATACTGTGAGGGATAAAACTTAAAAATGTGGATTTTGAGTTATATAGTGTTTCTATACTGAAAATATATATTATATAAAATAGTAAAACTGGTTGATGGTTTTTTAGAGGTGAAAGAAGACGCTAAAGACATTAAGCAATAGTAATTCTTGCTGTTCCATCCATTTAGAAAGTGCTTATAAAAACCATAACATTTACTATTGAGTCTTTTGTGAAACTCTATCATAAATGTAAGCTTGTTACTTATTAAAATAAGGAATTCAAATAAAAACCTTGTACATTAGGAGCTTAGTTTTAAGTTGAGGAAACTGGTAAATTATGAGTGTTCAGTATGTAGACTAGTAAAATAACAAGGGAAGCATAAGGCGGTAAATGGAGACAGCTTATTTGCAGGCAGGTGAGGTAGATCCTTTAAAAGAGAATGCTCACGTAGTCACATTGGATGTTTTTTTGAATTATTGAAGGTTACTATGGCTCTTGAGGATGGGTGTCACAAGGTTATGGAAATACTTGGAGAAGCATTAAGTGCAAAACAAATAGATTTAGATAAGTTTAAAGTAAGTTTGTTATAGTCAGAAGATAGTTGTCATTGGAGTAAATGAAGCAGAAAAATAAGGCATTATAATGAAGCAGAAAAATAAAGGCATTAGCAGATTCTAGTAACAAATTTAGGCTTTTACCATGGAAAGGAATGCCTTACCTAGAGTGTTTATCATTGTAGTGGATGGTATAGTAATTTAATCAATATCTAGAGTTGTTAGGATTAATTCAAATGAGAGCTTATGACCTAAATGACTTTTACTAAACCATAGACTTTGTGATTGAGCAGAGATAGTGTAGAGGTAGTATTTTAACAGCCAACTGCAGATGAATAGCAATTCACTGAATTGGCCAAAAAGATAATTTGTCTTTAATAAAATTCTTATGAGGTTAGCAAGCAATTGTGCTCTTGTTCTAATTGGTACTATTTATTAAAACTATTGAGTTAAAATATGTTTGCTTGAAAAATTTTTTAGGTTTTAGAAAAGCATTGACTTGTTTACGAAAGCTGATAAATACGAAAAATGGGTTTTAGTTTTTTTACTAGGTAATATTTTAAAATAGACTTTCTTCTTGCTGGTATAACTAACATTTATATTTTCTGTTTATTTTTAAGACGAGCAAAAATCAAATTAAAGTAGATCTTGTAGATGAGAATTTTACAGAATTAAGAGGAGAAATAGCAGGACCTCCAGACACACCATATGAAGGCAAGTACTTTTTTCTGTATCAAAATATTGTGTGTATTAGAGCTTGTCTGAAAGATTGAGTCAGAGTTATCTTGAGCATCTATATAAAATTCATGAAAGGTAATTTTATTTGGCTTAGGGTAAGCTGCAGTTTATAAAATGATAAATTTTTACACTTGACTATTTTTTTTCTTACTGAGCTTTAGCTAATTTTTAACAAAATTCTCGAATACATTTCATAGAGCCAGGTTACAGGTTACATAGGCTAGAATTTAACATTCCATTTGTCTTATTCTCTTCTACGAAGCCGTAAAGCGTAAAGCTTCTTTCTTTATCTTGTTTTAAATTGTTTTAAAGTAGCCACACATTGTATAGCATGACAGGATTACATATAGAGTGTTAAGCCTTGAATTTAGATATACTCAGGTACCCTTGATGTGACTAGTAACAAACCTTGTTTTAACATTTTGACTAATAAGATGTTGGTTTTACTTTTAAAAGCTCCTCTCTATCATTTCTTATTTCATTTGCTCTCATTATTATATAGGTTTTTAGATACTGTTCTTTATTTAAAACTACTTGTGATTATTTTAAAACATACAAAAACAAGAAAATAGCTTTGCTGATTTTCATATTTATGTCTTTTAAAAAGCTTTTTACTTTAGAACCCGGAATTAAGTTTATGATAAAGGACAAAACTGTAGTATTTGGATTTATTAGTCAGATCTTCATTAATTGGAAATTTGGGTCATGTAGGATAACCATGACTTTTACAGTTTGCTTAATAACTGTTCAAATATTTGTTTAATAGAAAGCATATGGCCTTATGTGGTATACCTTCCTTGTAAGATCATTACATGTATTTTATCATTCAGTTTTCACCTAATCTTAGACGGTAAGTATAATAATTCCTGTTTAATAGACATATTTGAGTTTAGAGATAAGTCACTTGTCTAAGGCCACACTTCTTAAGTGAAAAAGCTGAGATTTAGCTTGCCTTTAACTTCAAAGTATATGCTTTTAAATAACTTTGCTTTTGACTAAATCAGGATTCACCAAGTATTAGAAGTGGTGCTTATGGCTTCTTTAAATGTAATACTCTCAGTAATCTGTAGTGAAGTTCAGAAAAACCCAATTTTTTTTAGTGCTTATTTAACTTTATTTTTTTATGTGCATTGGTGTGAAGGTGTCAGATCCCCTGCAACTGGATCTTCATACAGTTGTGAGCTGCCATGTGGGTGCTGGGAATTGAACCCGGGTCCTCTGGAAGAACAGTCAGTGCTCTTAACCACTGAGCCATCTCTCCAGCCCCAGAAAAACCCAATATTGTTGGCAAATTTTGTTTTCATTCAAGACCTTAAAAGATCCTATAGTATTGTTATAAATTCTTTCTTGTTTTTTGAAACAGATTTTCTTTGTAGCTTAACTCTCAGCAGGTTCTCCTTTTCAGTTTGCTAAGTGTTGGGATTATAAATGTGAGTCACCCTTGTCTGGCTTTCCCTACTCTCTCCCTATTCACCTCTGATTTTTTGAGACAGGTTCTCTTGTGACCTAAACTGTTCTTAGACTGGCATTTGTGTGGTTGAGGCTTGTTCTGAGCTCCTGCTCCTCCTGATTGCATTTTCCAGTTGCTGGGCTCACAAACACAACCCATATGCCTCGGGCACCAATTTTGAAGTGAAAAGATTATACTGAAAGTATTCCATACCTACTAGTATGTCTGGCTTGTACATGTTTGTCGTGTTCCCTCCACCCTCCAGGGTCTCTCACTATGTAGCTCTGACTCTCATGGAACTCACTATGTAGACCAGACTGGATTTGAACTCACAGAAATCTGCCTGCCTCTGCCCCACAAAGTACTGGGATTAAAACCATGCACCACCATACCTGGCTCATTTAGCTTTTTTGACATCCATTAGAAGATTTTAATAATGTCATAATAGCTTATGACAAGTATTATAATTGTGTTTTGTTTTTCTTTTATTATTTTTTTGTGGTACTTAGGATCAAATTCAAGGCCTGTGCATGTTCCCAAGCAGATATAAACTGAGCTATATCCCTAGCCTCATAATTCTTCCTGAAGTGCTTTTTGAGATAGTTCAGATATTTTTAAAATGCAAGAAATAGTATTATTATTCTAGAGCTCTGCAGCAGACTTACAGTACACAGGGACCTCTTGAGCTCAGTGAAAAGAATGTTACCTTATTAGCCATGTTTCATATGTAAACGAACTTGTAAAAAGTAGATAATATATAATTTTTCTTAATTGAGAAAGCATTCTATATTTATTAGAAACAAGTTGCTCATTTCTACAGGTGCTTCAAAATAAGACAATATTTTTAATAGCTTTCCTAAGATTTGGGGACAATAGCTTCATTGCTTGAAGAGTAGATTATTTTAAGATCTTTTTATTGTAAAAATGTTACAGCAATGTTTGAAAAAAAAAGTGCTATTTAAGTAATAAACTTTTCTTTCTGAAAATAAGCACAGGTGAAAGATTGGTCTACTGCAGAAGGCTTGATGTTTTGCAGTGGGTTTTTTTTTTTTTTAATTGTTTGTATTTTCCTTTTGCCTTTTTTTTTTTTTTTGGGGGGGGAACTGAGATAGACATTCTGACCTTAGAATTCATGGCCATATACTTGTTGGGCAAGCTCTAAGACTGAGCTGTATCTCCTCAGCCTGCTTTTATTTTTGGTCTAACTTAAAGCTAAATAAAAGTTTATCTCTAAAATATTCATTTGTATTATCATTAAAAAGCAATTTTACATATAAATTAAAAACCCAGATTGTCAAGAAAAATAAAAAATAAAATGGAAAATTCTCATATTGCATTTCACTTACTCAGCTTTCTTAATTTTCTTTCCTAAATAACTTAGTGGTAAAGAACTAAGTTATTTTGTTATTTTTGTCTAGAAGTTCTTTCAAATTTGTTGAATTTAAATGGGCAGTTCAGTAATTCTTATCAACTTTTTTTCTTCTCTTTGGAGGATGTTAAAGTTCACAATTGTTTCTCTGGATATAGTGGGCTCATGCTTGTATCCCTAGCATTTGGGGAGGCTGAGAATTGCTCTGAATTCAGGGACACCCTAGGGCACTTAAGTCCCAAAGTCCCAGATATAACTAGTCCAATGTGTTTCATCAACTTACTCCCACCTCACGAGGTAAAAAAAAAAAAGTTGCTAAATGCTTGATGATTGGAAGCTATTAATGTGCTTGCCTGTAGTTATTTATTAGGGTAGAGGAAGAGTTACATGAGTCTATCAGTTTAAGGCTAGCCTATGTAACATAATAAGACTTATCTCTAAAATAAAGAGGCATAAAACATAAATAGAATAAAAGCTATTCCTCAAAAGGTAAATAAGTTATATTGAAGATTGTTGTGTATAATGCTTATAAAAGTCCCTTAGATATTCAGTGATGGGGCCACTTGTATGACTGTGGGCCCTTGAGGTTACATTACCCAGAGTCAATTGGGTTATGATGTTTGCATAGGTGAGGTCACGTAATGATGTATATCTTATATCCATTGTCAATCAGAAATTATTGTATGTCATGACTGATCTTACAGTGATTTTATATGAAAATTGTTATATAAGACAAACGAATGTAAAATGGAGTAGAAATACCTTCACAATCTAACAGTATTTATGTAAGATATCTGTAGCTCTTAAACTACTCCTAAATTGTTTTAATCATCTAAGAAGAAAGAACTTTGTGACAAATCATAAAGCCAACACTTGGGAGTTTAGTCAGAAAAACAAGAGGATCTTCTGTGAAGAGAAGGGCCTATGTGGGCCTTACACCCTGTGTGTGCTGGAGCCACTTACTCATGTGGAGTATAGTCTGTGGTTTTGTTCTCACGTTTAGTAAACAGCTACAAAGGAAAAAGATGAGTCTACATATTTTTCAAGCCAATTACATATTGGTTTTGTAATGTATATGGTTATCTCCATATTTACAAAATTCTTTTTTAGTACTCTTTTCTTACCTGTCTTTTGTTATGACTGCTTTTCTTTATATTACACTTTTACTATATGTTCTTGATCCAGATTTCTTGTTCAATTCATATAGCATTTAACAGAGGGGAACTCTACCAAAAACATTATAAGACATAAAGAATTGGAATCAAATCTTTTGAAGACGGAGAATGATGTTGCATTTCTATAATCCCTGCACTTGAAAGGCTGAGACAGAAGAACTGCAGGTTTGAGGCCAGCCAGGGCTAGATAGTGGACAGCAGGTGTGTGTGTTGCTTAAAGAATCTAGTATCAGTGAAATGCTCTTTATTTTTTCTGAGATTCACATGCATACATTCATAATGGTGGAGAAAGGTAGATTTGGTAGGACCCCCTGATAAACTGACAACAGTTCTCTACTTAAAATTTTCAAGAACTGAATATTTGATGTTAATAATGCCAGTAGCACACTTTGTGTGACTTTTCACATGCATATGAAGGAATGTAATAGACATCTAACTTACATCTAATTCAGTAACGTAGCTAGTTTTTTTTAAATCTAGTTCATTTTCTGATTATTAGAAAAATCTATTAGTTTCATGTGTATTTGAGTAGCACCCTTTTATTTCCTTTTTTGAAAATTTATTTTTATTTTATGCGCATTAGTGTTTTGACTGCATGTATGTCTGTGTGAGGGGGTCAGGTTTCTCCCCTAAAACTGGAGTTACAGATAGTTGTGAGCTGCCATGTGGGTGCTGGGAACTGAACCTGGCTCCTTTGGTAGAGCAGTTGGTGCTCTTATCCACTGAGCCATCTCTCCAGTCTCTTATTACCTATTTTTTAATAGTGAATCTTTCATGTTAGTGGGTCATGAAATCTAGAACTGGGAGGTTAATTAGATGTAGAATTTTTTTTGGGGGTGAGAAGAGAGACAGAGACAGAAAGGAGGAGGAGGGAAGGAGAGGAGTGGAGTGTTTAAGGCACGCTAGCTTTGAATGCTCTCTCTGCTCTGTAGGTCAGCAGGGTTTGGAATCAGGAGATCTTCTAGCCTCCCCATACCATGTACTATGGCATTGTAGGATTGTGATGCACAC